GAAGCATGCTGAAAGTAGACTATAGACTGAACATGATTGCCACTCAATACCTCTTTTGAAAACCACAGCACCCAAAAGGAGAGAGAGAACGGAAGGGAATGCCCTGCCACAGAGGCAGAGTGGGATGGGGGGGGAATGGGGAGTGGGAGGGATACTGGGATCCGTGGTTTTGGAGAGTGGGCACTGGTGGAGGGATGGGTACTTGATCATTTTATAATTGAAACTCAAGCACAAAAATTTGTAATTCTTTAACTGTACCTCATGGTGTTTCACTAATAAAAATTAAAAAAAACGAATAAAGTTTTATCTTTAAGATAAAAAAGATAATAGCTTTGTTGAGATATGGTTCACATACCACAGATTTTATCCTTTAACTGAAGGAGGGACTCAGTTTGCTATGTTTAGGGCTTACTCCTGACTCTGTGCTCAGGAATCCCTCCCAGTGGTGCTCAGGGGACCATATGTGGTCCTAGGTATCAAAACTGAATTGCATGAATGGAAGGCAAGTGCTTTACCCACTGTACTATCTCTCTGGCCCCAAACATTATCCTTTTTAAGCATTCAATTTTGTAGCTTCTAGTGTATTTACAGAGCTGTGAAATCATCACCATAATATAATTTTAGAATATTTTCATAACCCCAAATAGAACTCTCCAACTCCTCCACAAATCCCAGAATCTAATCTATTTTAGTTTCTCTCTCTATATTTTTTTGTTTCTGGAAATGTCATATATGTAGAATTACAAAGTGCTTGTCATTTTGTTTCTGGCTTCTATCACTTAGCATATTTTCAAGGTTAATCCATATTGTGGCATGTATCAGTATTCCTTTTATTGAAGAATATTATTCCATTATAGACTGTACCACGCTTTGTAATTCCATTCTTCAACTGATGGACATTTGGTTTGGTCTGGTTCCAAGTTTTGACTCACGAGTCTTGATTTGAATTTCCATTTTTAATTCTTTTGACTATATATATTATATGTATGTACATATGCTCTAGGCTGGAGCGATAGCACAGCAGGTAGGGCATTTGCACACAGCCAACCCGGGTTCGATTCCTCTGTCCCTCTTGTAGAGCCTGGCAAGCTACTGAGAGTATCCCACCCATATGGCAGAGCCTGACAAGCTACTCGTGGTGTGTTCGAAATGCCAAAAACATTAACAAGTCTCACAATGGGAACATTACTGGTGCCCACTCGAGCAAATCAACGAACAATGGGAGAACAGTGCTACAGTGTTACATATGCTCTATTGCTGCATATATCCGTGATTTATTTGTATAGTCTATTAAATGAATTTCATTAAGGCCAGAGAGATAGCCCAATGGGTTGGGCACATACTAGAGACCTAAGTTCAATACCCAGAACCATGTGGTCCCCTCAGAGGTGCCAGTAATGTCTCCAGAGCACACAGCTGGAAGTAGTTCCCAAGCTCTAGCAGATGTGGCCCCCAAAGGAGTTAACAATAATAAACAAAGATGAACTCGATTCATTTCCACCCAGATTCTTGCTGTTAGGTTAAGTGAAAATTCAGCATCTAATCTTGTTTTCTTCCATCTTTTTTAGATTTATAAAGTTATTGATAGCTGAGTTATAGGCATATAATATTTCAACACCAATCCAATCGCAGGGTCAACTTTCCTTCACCTGTGTTCCCAGATTGCCTTCCCATCTCTATCCCCACCCCATCCCACCTGTCAACTTGACAGGCACATCACAAAGTTCCAGTGGTTGCAGCTTAGATGGCATTTTTTAAATTAATTTTTATTAGTGAAACACCATGAGGTACAGTTGTAGACTTACACATTTTTGTGCTTGGGTTTCAATTATACAATGATCAAATACCCATCCCTCCACCAGTGCCCATTTTCCAACACCATGGATCCCAGTATCCCTCCCACCCCCATCCCTCCCATCCCACCCTGCCTCTGTGGCAGGGCATTCCCTTCTGTTCTCTCTCTCCTTTTGGGTGCTGTGGTTTTCAAAAGAGGCATTGAGTGGCAATCATGTTCAGTCCATAGTCTACTTTCAACATGCATCTCCCCTCCTGGGAGGATCCTCCAAACACCCTTTATTTGGTGCTCCCTTCTCTATCTGAGCTGCCCTTTCCCCTAGAATGCCCGGCTGGCCTCTAAGCCATGGAGTAATCCTCCTGGTACTGATCTCGGCTAAGATGGCATTTTTTCAGTGTTGTTGGGTCTGTGTTTTTGACATATAACTACACCACTTATCCCCATATCACCGGTATGACTGAAGGCTGTTCACCCGTTGCTTCCAGTCCTTTTTTTCACTTCTTGATTCCTTCCCTTCTCTGTCCTTCTCTCTAATCAGTGGGGCCAAGTGTATTCTAGGCAACCCCTCTTTACTACATTTTTTTCATACAGGTTCTGTATAGCACAGATATAGGAGATCATCCTGTGCTTGTATTTCTTCTTCTGGCTTACTTCACTCAACACGATATCTTCCAGTTCCAACCACATTGAAGCAAATTGCATGATTTCATTGGTCCTTGCAGATGAATTGGTCCTTCCATTATACCACATCTTCCAATATACCACATCTTCATAATCCGTGCTTATGCTGTTAGACACCTAGGTTGATTCCATATCTTAGCTATTGTACTGAGTGCAACAATGGATAATGGTGTGCATATATCCTTTTGAGAAAGTGTTTTAGATGCCCAAAAGTGGATTGTGAGGTCATATAGAAGTTCAGTTCTAAGTTTACTGAGAACGTCCCATACTGTTTGCCATGGGAGTTGTACCAGACAACATTCCCACTAGCAGTGGATGAGAATTCTTTTTTCACCACATCCCTGTCAACATAGATTATTCCAACTATTTTTAAAAAAGTTTTATTAGTGAAACACCATGAGGTACAGTTGATATGTGTCATTCTCACTGGTGTGAGATGGTATCTTATTGTTATCTTGATTTGGATTTCTTTAGTGATAAGTGATGCTGAGCATTTATTTCATGTCCCTACTGGCAATCCACCTGTCTTCCTCTGAAAAGTGTCTATTCATTTCCTTTCCCCATTTTTGATAGAATTTTTAAAATTTTCTATTGTCTTTTGAGGAATTGGAAAACTATATCCCATGAGGGCTCTATCATTTTAAAATTCCATTAGCAATGACTGAAACCTTGATTTCTATTATATTCTTGCTTGCTAAAACTTGTTATTTTCCTTTAAAATATATAGTCATTATGTTGGGTGCAAAATTGAATTCTACTGTGCTTTATTTTTCATTACTATTTTTTAATTTTAATGAATCACTGTGAGATACAGTTACAGACTTACAAATTTTCTTTTTTTAAAAAATTTTTTTAGTGAAACACCATGAGGTACAGTTTTAGACTTACAAATTTTTGTGCTTGGGTTTCAATTATACAAGGAGCATGTACCCATCCCTCCACCACTGCCCATCCTCCACCACCATGGATCCCAGTATCCCTCCCACCCCCCATCCCTCCCGCCCCACCCTGCTTCTGTGGCAGGGCATTCCCTTCCATTCTCTTTCTCCTTCTGGGTGCTGTGGTTCACAAAAGAGGCATTGAGAGGCAATCATGTTCGGTCTATAGTCTACTTTCAGCATACTTCTCCCATCCTGGGAGGATCCACCCAACACCCTTTATTTGGTGCTCCCTTGTCTATCTGAGCTGCCTTTTCCCCTAGCATGTGCAGCTGGCCTCCAAGTCATGGAGTAAACCTCCTGGTACTTATCTCGGCTATTCTTGGGTGTTGGTCTCCTATTTTGTTACTTTATGTTCCCCAGATGAATGCAATCTTTCTCTGACAGACTTACAAATTTTCTTGATTACATTGCAATCAAACAATGTTCAAGTACCCATCCCTTCACCGGTGCCCACTGTCCACCACCAATGTCCCAGTGTCCCTCCTGCCACCCCCACCTTTTCCCACCCCCTGCCTCTGTGGCAGGCACATTCCCTATTAATCTTTCTCTCCTTTTGGATGTTATGGTTTGCAATATAGGCACAAAGCAGCCATCATTTTTTTATCCATAGTCTACTTTCAGCATGCATCAAAAATTCTTATTGAGGCTAGAGTGATACAGTGGGCAGAGTACTTGCCTTGCACGTGACCAACCTGGGTTCAATCCCTGGGATCCCATATGGTCCCTTGAGCAATACCAGGAGTGGTGTCTGAGTGCAGAGCCAGTAGTAACCCTTGAACATTGCCAGGTGTAGTCCAAAAAGCAAATAAAAGATTGTTGTGGCCACACCAAGCAGTGTTCAGAGATCACCAGAGTTGCATCTAGTGGAGTTAGTGTGAGTTATGAGGTTGAATCCAGAGAATTGCAAATAATACGAATGTACTTTATCCCTTTAGGCATATCCATCTCATGGTGAGCATTATTGTGCATTTTGTTGTCTTTTGTCTTTTTTTGGTAGTACCAGGGATAAAACCCAGGTTCCATGCATCCAAAGTTAAGTAATTTACTGCTAAAAACTACATCCATATCTCATTTTGTGATTTTTAAAGTGCATTATCATAGTAGCCAAACGATGTTGAACTTTTTTTCATGTGTTTTCAATAAGGTTGAAACTCCTATTACTTATTCAGCAGTTAATTTCCCATTTTTTCTTTGGGTAAGTCATCCTTATAATCATCAGGATTTTACCCGTAAAATACTCATCCTTTAACTTTGTCCTATATGGCTTAGAATTCCCAATAGATGGACTCTTTGGGAGCGAAGACCATGGCATGCATTGTTATACCTCCATTGCTTTACTCAACAATGTCCACACCCAAATTTCCAGTGTAAATATTGAACAAATGTGCAATTAATTCTTGGGTTAGGAATTCGTTGGTGAAGTTTTAGATTAGGTGTATCTAGGTGTAAGAACAATTCTATGTTTTATTATAAGCTGTTTGTGGCCAGGTTTTAGTGACAGGCATATTTAACTCCAGATGATATTTGTTGAATAATATTTTCTGTGCTACATTAAAATGTTTTGGAAAACTTTGACAAGTCTTGTGCTTAATTCAGCAGCACATATATTAAAATTAAAATAACACAAAGAAGATTATCATGGCCCCTGTGCTTGGCTGTTGTGCAAAATCTTGAAACATCCCATACTTTTAAATAGAAACGTGTCATCTGCTTATGGATTGGAAGGATTAACATCATCAAAATCTTAACAGTTCCCAAAGCATTATACAAATTCAATGCAGTCCCATTAAGGTTATCCATGACATTTTTACAGAGAAATTGATCAAACGCTTCTGAAATTCACATGAAACAATAACACCCCATCCCCTAATAGCCAGAACAATCCTTAAGAAACAGAAAGATGGACGGAATCCATTTTCCCAACTTCAAACTGTACAGCAAAGCAGTAGTAATTAAAACAGCATGGTACTACTGGAAAAAAGGAAGAAGCCCTCTACTCAATGGAATAGAACTGAAGCTATAGAGATAGACTCTCAATATGTGAAATAACAATTAATATTCAATAAAGGAACAAAAATATATAAAGTAGAGCAATGAACAAGTAATGCTAGGAAAACTGGTTGACCACATGTGAAAAAATGAACCCAGACTTCCTTATGACACCAAATACAAAAGTCTTATCAAAATGGATTAAAGACGTCAGTATCAGACCCGAATCCATAACATACAAAGAGGAAACCATAGACAGATACATCCCTGACATTGAAACTAGAGGCATTTTAAAAATTGTATTTGTATTTACATTTTTTTACTAAAGCACTATGATTTACAAAGTTATTCCTAGTTGTGTTTTAGACACACAATATTGCTGCTCTGATCCCACCACCAGTGTCAGCTTCCCTCAGCCAGTGTTCGCAGGTTCACTCCTATATCCCTCCACCCCTCCAAGCCTGCCGTCTTGACAGGCACCTTTCTAAGTTTGGTTGTTAATGTTGGATCTCTTGATTTAAGTGTTGTTGACTTTGTGGTTTGGATATTTGACTCTATCATTCCTTAACACTGCCTTTATAACTGACTTCCCTGACCTGGATCCCGTTGCTTCTCCTCTGTCTCATCTGTCCCTTTCCCCTTCACTCTGTCTTTCCTTTTACTCCCTATACTCTGGGGCCAAGATTGTTCTGGGCATTCCCCATTTAATCCATTACATTTCATCATAGAGTTATTCTAAATAACACATGTGAGTGATATCTTTCTTCTGGTTTACTTCATTAACATGATGTCTTCCAGTTCCATTCATGTTGCCACTAATTTCATTATTCCCTCATTCTTTACAGTTGTGTAGTGTATATACCATTGTGTATATATACTACATCATCATGATACACTGACCTATCATTGGACATTGATGTTGATTACAAAACTTAGCTATTTGTACTGAGTGCTACAATGACTAATGGAGTGTGTATGTTTTTTTGAATGAATGGTTTTCCATCCTGGGGGTAGTTAGCAAAATGTGGAATCTCTGAGCCATATGGGAGCTGAAGTCTGAGTTTACTGATTACCCTACATACTGTTTTCAGTAGGAGTTGGATCAGACAATATTCCAACCAGCAGTAGATGAGGGTACTTCTTTCATCATAACCTTGCTAACAGAGATTGTTGCCAGTATTTTTGATATGTGCCATTCTCATGGCATAAGATGATACCTCATTACCGTCTTGATTTGCATTTACCTAATAATAACTGATGATTAGTATTTTTATGTTCCTATTGGCTGTTCATCCATTGATGAATGAAGTGTCTGTTAATTTCCTCTTCCCATCTTCTTTGGTGCTTTTAGATTTTTTTGTTGATTTCTGTGAGTACTTTGTAGATGCTGGATATCAACGTTCTATCTTTCATATTCAGTTGATTGCAAATATTTCTCCCACTCCACTATATTTCCTCCAGTTATCTGTCACTTAGTTTTAGCCCATGTGTCTTTTGCCATATAGAAACTTTTAAGTTTGATGTGGTCCCATTTGTTTAGTTTTGATCATGTAGTCTTTGCCAATGGCATCGTATCATTGAAGACGACTTTGGGTTTCAGATCTTTGAGCATCCTGCATATATTTTCATCAATGTACTTTATAGATTTAGGTATAATCTAAAAATCTTTGATCCACTTTTATTTGACTTTTGTGTAAGGTTGAGATGTGGATCCAGCTTTAATTTTCTTGCATGTAGTTATTCAATTCTCCCAATACCATTTGTTCAAATGGCTATCTTTATTACATTTCATGTTCTCATCACCCTTGTCAAAATTAGCTGACTATATATATACATATATATATATATATGAGTTTATCCTTATTCTGTTTTGACCTACTTGTCAGAGTCTTTTTTAATTCCAGTACCATGTTGTTTTAATTACTATGACTTTATAGTATAGATTAAAGTTAGGTAGAAATTAGAGGCATCTTTAAAGATGAAGTGTCACTGACCCAAGAAGTGTAAACATAAACAAATGGACCTACATTAAATTAAGAAGCTTTATTTTTATTTTTATTCTTTTTTTTTGCTTTTTGAGTTACACCCGGAAATGCACAGGAGTTATTCCTGGCATTGCACTCAGGAATCACTTCTGGCGGTGCTAGGGGACCATATGGGATGCTGGGAATCAAACCCGGGTTGGCTGTGTGCAAGGCAAATGCCCTACCCGCTGTACTATTGCTCCAGTCCCAAATTAAGAAGCCTTTGCACCTGAACGGAAACAAAGATCAGAATACAAAGACAGTCCATGGACAGGGAGAAATCATTTGCCTACAACTGATATGATAAAGGGTTAATATCCAAGATAAGTGAAGCACTGGTAGAACCTTACAAGAAAAAAATATTCAGCCCCATCAAAAATGGGGAAAAGAGGTGAACAGTATCTTCCTCAAGAAGAAATTCAAATGGCCAAAAGACACATTGAAAGAAAGCTCTGTATCACCAATCTTCAAGGAATACGATTAAAAACAGCAGTGAAATGCCACCTCCTACCAAAGACACTGGCACTCATCATGATGGCTGAGTGCACTGCATGCCTGGGGAGCATCTTAGCATTGCCATCTAGAGATAATGGGTCTAAAATTGTGTTTTGTATTTTAAGGGCTTTCAGTTCTGCGGGGAGTAAGTATGCTCAGTCTTATGTGAATTATTAAAATGATCCTGGAATTCAAAAAAGTCTGCGTATATAGTGAAAAGCATATGCATATTTTATGTAGAATCTCACTGTTCCTCAGAATGTGCAACAAAACAACACTGATTTATTTCCAACTTTGATTATTTTGAGCACTTTTTTCCAAAGGTATAAATCGCATTAAAAAATCGGAATCAGGCGTTATTTACTAAATATACTTTTGCTTAACTCTTTTTTGTCACCTGGTTGGCCATTTATCATATGCTATAAGAAATTTGCGGCCATGCGACCTCTTATTGTCTAGTTCTCGCTCTTGGAGAACCCGGCAGGCTACCGAGAGTAACCTGCCCACAAAGCAGAGCCTGGCAAGCTCCCCGTGGCGTATTTGATATGCCAAACACAGTAACAACAAGTCTCATAATGGAGACGTTACTGGTGCCCGCTTGAGTAAATCGATAAACAACGGGATGATAGTGATACTGATAAGAAATTAAAACATATCAGAAAGGCAGAGGGACTCAAGAAAAGAGAGCTTGAACCTTAACATCCAATAGATCTGAGTCCCATCAACCTTTGTCACTTGCTAAATGAGTGTTCTTGGGCAATGTGGTAGGCTGAGCAATGTCCCTTCCACATGCCTCCACATCAGTCTCCAGGACCTGTGTATATCCTGCCATTTCCTGTGTATTTTCTTTCCGAATGGCTTGGCAAGATAGGATTAAGGTTCCTGACCTTGAGAGTCGCCTGGGTTCTGCAACGGGAGCCACCTAATCGCTTGCATCCTTGGAAACAGAAAACTTCTCCTGCTGAGGTCAGAGTATCACAGGGAAGTGAGAGGCCAGAAGAGACCAGAAGAGGAAGACTGTGAGAGGGAGTGGTCTTCCCTTTGTTGGTTTGAAGGGGGAAGGACAATGCAATAAGGAATGGGGGCAGCTTTAAGGATTTGAGAGGGATGCCTGAATCCCTCTCATACAACAAGAAAAGGGGACTCTCAAATCCCACCTAAAGGAACCAAATCTGGAGCCAGTGCAGTAGTACAGTGATGTGGGTGCTTGCCTTGCATGCAGCAGACCCGTGTTCGATTCCTGTTATCCCATATGCTCCCCCCGCCATGTCTGCCAGGAGTGATCCCAAGTGCGGCACTTGATAGTCCGGTCTGGCCCGAAACCCAAAAAGAATTAAAAAAGAACCAAATCCTGCCAACCCCTTTTAGACATTCGGGAGCCAACTACCCTCCCCCCTCCCTCCCCCCCCCCCCGTGCTTCCCACAAGGAGCAAAGCTCTAATAATATGCTGGTTTCAGTCTGTGAGAACAGGAGCCAATTCAACCTTGCCATACCCAGATTTTGGTCTCTAACACTCTGGGATAGTAAATTGATGCAGAGTTAAGCTGTTAAATTTGTGGTAGTAGTTAGGAGTCGTAGAATTTTGTTTCAGGAAATTACTGACTTTAAATTGGAAATGCTTGGGGTGTTGCGGTGCTGGGGATTGAACCCAGGACCTCACGCATACAAAGCAAATGCTTTACCAATGAGCCCCACCCTCTGTCCTCTCTGCCTTTCGATAGCACAGGGGTAGGGCGTTTGCCTTGCACGCAGCCAACCCGGCCAACACGGGTTCGATTCTTCCGCCCCTCTCGGAGAGCCCAGCAAGCTACCGAGAGTATCTCGCCCACACGGCAGAGCCTGGCAAGCTCCCCGTGACGTATTCGATATGCCAAACACAGTAACAACAAAGTCTCCAGTGGAGACGTTACTGGGCCCGCTCGAGCAAATCAATGATCAATGGGAGGGCCTTTACTTTACTTACTTTACTTAAATTGGAAATAGCTGGGGGTATGGTGCCGCCAGCAGGTCAATCTGTACCTATGAGGCAAGTGCATCAGCAGCCTCATGGTGCCTTCAGACTTCCAGATACCCCAAAATTTCTGCTGTGCCTTTGGTCAGACCCCAAAAACTTGGGGAAAAGTTTACCAAGAAAGTTAATGGCCAAAAGTTAGGTATGTGGGAAACACACCCACAAACCAC